GGGGGAGGGGGTCAGGAGAAATTAGATGCTAGTCACTCTTAGGGGTCAAGGAGTTGAGGAACATGGGGGAGGGGGTCAGGAGAAATTAGATGCTAGTCACTCTTAGGGGTCAAGGAGTTGAGGAACATGGGGGAGGGGGTCAGGAGAAATTAGATGCTAGTCACTCTTAGGGGTCAAGGAGTTGAGGAACATGGGGGAGGGGGTCAGGAGAAATTAGATGCTAGTCACTCTTAGGGGTCAAGGAGTTGAGGAACATGGAGGGAGGGGGTCAGGAGAAACTGGATGCTAGTCACTCTTAGGGTTCAAGGAGTTGAGGAACATGTGGGAGGGGTAAGGAGAAATTAGATGCTAGTCACTCTTAGGGGTCAAGGAGTTGAGGAACATGAGGGGAGGGGGTCAGGAGAAATTGGATGCTAGTCATTCTCAGGGGTCAAGGAGTTGAGGAACATGGGGGGAGGGGGTCAGGAGAAATTAGATGCTAGTAAATCTTAGGGGTCAAGGAGTTGAGGAACATGGCGGAGGGGGTCAGGAGAAATTGGATGCTAGTCATTTTCAGGGGTCAAAGGGTGAACTCTAGAAATCAATTGCTATCTAATAAAGATTTAGGCGAGATTTCCATTTTACCCCATACTTCATTATGCATACAATTCTTGGATAAAAGAAAGCAGAGGCAAAACAACAGACTACCTTTGGGATTACGGCTTTGTTTTGATTGGTATGGAGTTATACATCTGAAGAGTGTCATTCTTGACCCTCTCCCAGTAACTGCTTAAATGACTCATAAATCCTAAGCTCTTCCTTTTGAGTAAACCCAAAATTTACTTGAAGGATTTACCCAGCCATTTCAACTAAATCATTTCTATGAACATTTCCATCTAAGCCAATGATACTGAATAACTTACTTTCGCAAATGTCGCAGCAATAACTTAAGGGTTTCCCCATTGACCTTTGGCATCTGAACAGCCAAAGATCTCATTGCAGTAAGCTTGCCTTTTCGCGTGCTTTGTTCTGTTGAAAGATTAAATTAAAAAGATTAGTTGTATGCCATTGTTGAAAGTTCACAAAATAAAGTTTCGACTATTTGAACATATCATAAGGTTAAGCAAGTTTTCCAGCAAGGGTTACACTTAGGTTACACAAAAACATGTGTAATTAAAGTTTTTGATTTGATTATTACATGCACTAGTAGGGGTTGAGGAGAAAGAACTAAAAACAAGCAAAAAGGAAGGGAGAAAAGGGTCTATTTAAAAGAAAAAAATTGCATATTTGAATTGTAAGAGCACCATTTTGGATCTACATTTGAAAAACATATAGAAGAAGATGTTAAAGGTTCACAACTCACTTATTGCCTCAACAAATCCACTGAAGAAGTCATAAGGAATGAGAGGCTCTGGAAGTTCCCTAAAGTAAAGTTTTAGAGATCCAGTGAGGGCATGGACATCATCAAAAGGAGGCTCGCCAAGTACCACTTTCTCCTCTGTGGCAAAAGTAAAAATTGAACAAAATTAATGATGATCTCAGAGGAGAGAAGAAGAGAAAGTAAATAAAGAAAATTAAATCCACATAGTTTGGAAGGACACTTTCAGTGACCCTCCTATTCCAAAGTTAGGTTTAAAAGATTGATCACCTTCACACTGAGGGCCAGAAGTATATGAGACCTGCACAAAGACCTCTATGGTATATGACAGCTTTTCATTACACCCTTAATAATATTTGATTTCTGAAAAGAAATTCTCATAGACCAACAAATGTATTTTTTCCTTCCTGAAAAAGCTTTATGTAAAACCTAAAATAGGGTGCCATTCCTCCATTTTGCAATATTTTTAATGCAATGAGTAAGAAAGCTTGCTCTACTATAAGGCAAACAGCACATTTTGATTATTTGGGTTTTCAATCTTTTCCCGTCTCAAGTTGAGAGAGATCTGTCACTCAAAAAGACACTCCTATAAACAACACAGTTTAGGTGATTCCTGAATTCTGATATCTCCATTTTCAGAACTTTCATTAAGTTATCTTGAGTCCCTCAAGAAATCCTAACATTTATGTATACAAAGGGAGGTGGGGTCAGGGAGATCCTAGAATCCCCATTTTCTATGCCCCTGGATGCAGGGCTCGAAATTAACGGTAACCCATTAACCAATGGTTAGTAATTTTCAACGTTTGGTTACTAAAAATTTGTCCAACTAACCCGACATGGTTAGTAAAATTTTCTAACATATTTGAACATTGGTAGACTTCAGGACGAAGAGCACATAGACCCGACTCTCAGAAGAATACTTAGAATACTAAAGTTGTTAAGTCAACTTTAACTCTTTTTAGAGAATGTGCTGTTGATGTACTGTTCTTGACTAATCATGGTAAACAAGAGGGAAATAAAATAGGTGGATAATTGTCTACGTTTTTGAGGTCACTATGCAATTTCAGCTACTCTTTAATTTGTCCTAGTTGTTATTATCAAAATGTTCAATATTTGAGATATCGTAACTTGTGAGCTTGGATACCAAACTTTATTATTTGGTTAGTAAAAAAGATGTCTACTAACCCGAAGGGTTAGTGATCCAAAAATTAAATTGGAGCCCTGCCTGCCATGGACTAACATCCTGTCCAACAGCACTAGGCCTTTCAGGCTGGTAGCTAAGAAGTTAGGCTACTGGCTGAAATTTCAAGTGAGGTGGCTCAAAGGCGGTGAACAATTGTAAGT